CCACCATGTGGTTGCTGGGAATTGAACTCGGGTCCTCTGGAAGAGCAGTCAGTGCTCTTAACCTCTGAGCCATCTCTCCAGGCCCCTCAGCCTGCTTTCTTATAGCAGCATCCTGGGCAGACTACCTGTCCAGGGATTGCACCACTCACAATGGGCTGGGCCCTCCCACGTGAATCAGTAATTAAGAAAATGGATTACAGACTTGCATACAGACCAATCTTATGGGGGCATTTTCTCAACTGAGAGTCCTTTTTCCCAAACGACTCTAGCTTATATCAAGTTGATGTAAAACTAGCCAGGACTGTGTATATGTATGTGCGTGTGTATACATAAGTGCATATACACACATTCACGTGTATATGCGAACACACACACATGCCACAGTTCACGTGTGTGTGTGTGTGTGTGTGTGTGTGTGTGTGTGTGTGTGTGTGTGTGTGAGAGAGAGAGAGAGAGAGAGAGAGAGAGAGAGAGAGAGATCGATTCCCCGAGGCAGGAATTAGAGGCAGTTGTAAGCCTTGATGTGGGTGCTGGGAACCAACCCTGAGTCCTCTGGAAGAGCAGCAAACACTCTCAGCTGCTCAGCCGTCTCCCCAGACCCCCACCCAGATCTTTACTACTGGGGACGTACCAGCCATTGCTGCTTTTGTTGTCAGGTGGTAACTCAGTTTCCCCTGCCAGCAACTAACAGAAATGAGAGGCCTGAAGGGGCAGCCACAAAGACTGGCCCCCTTCCTCACGGTGGTACAACCTGTGCTGAGTTCCGCAGAGGAAAGGACAATCTCCACTTATACCAGTCTTCCTTTAGTGTTAAACCTGCCCTACTTCCATCTTTTCTCCTGAGAGCATGCCCTCATAAATCGCCTCAGCAAGAATTTTCATCTCACACTGTACTTCTTGAAAACTCACTGCATGACACCATGTAATGAGGGAGAGTCTCGTAACTCCCTGTACCACTCTGCTTTCTGTTAAGATGCTTGAGATGGTGATTTGTAAAGAAAAGAGGATTTGGGACTGGAGAATTGGCTCATATGTTAAGAGCGCATGCTATTCTTGTGGAGAACCCATGTTCAATTTCCAGCACAATGGGCAGCTCACAACTACCTGTAACTACGAGCAGAAATCTGATGCCCTCTTCTGGCCTCCTTGGGCAGTGCACTCACGTGCACAGACCCCCCCCCCCCCCCACGTTGCACGTTGTGGGGTATTTGTACACTGTGTGAAGGTATACTGCTGTGATTGATGTAATAAGGAGCTGAACAACCAACCAATAGCTAGGCAGGAGGTATAGGCAGGACTTCTGGGCAGAGAGAGGAGGTGCAGAGTAGACACCAACAAGACATGGAGGGATAGGCATACAAAATGGAAGAAAGATAAAAAGTCACATGGGCCGGGCAGTGGGGGCACAGGCCTTTGATCCCAACACTGGGAGGCAGAACCAGGTGGATCTTTGTGAGTTTGAGGCCAGCCTGGGCTACAGAGTGAGTTCCAGGAAAGGCGCAAAGCAATACAGAGAAACCCTGTCTGGGGTGGGGGTGGGGGGAGTCACATGGTAAAATGTAGATGAGTAAAAACAGGTTAAGTTATAAGAGCTAGTGGGACAAGCCTAAGCTAAGGCTGAACTTTCACAATAAATAATAAGTCTCTGTGTCTTTATTTGTCAGCTGGCAGCCCAAAGAAAAATCTGACTCCATGTGGTACCCAATGTGGGGCTCAAATATCCACATAGAGGCTGAAAAGTGGTCTCTTGGGTAGGCTTGGCATGCAGAGGTGCGGCTCTTTTAAGAAGCTCTGCTGTGCATGAGGCTAGGCTCTCAGGGAAGCAAGGGGAGCACCCCCCCCCCAGCTTATTGATATTAATTTAAGGTTATTTTTGTTATAGTGTATATATGTTTCTATTCTTGTTTAAGGTATTGTACCTATACAGCTCATTTAAAAATGTAAAGTTTTAGTCATTTAGAGCTAGTTAAAAACAAGCCTAAGCTAAAGGCCAATATTTCATAATTAATAAGAAGTCTTCATGTCATTATTTGGGAGCTGGTAGGACAGAGAAAGACTCATTACAGACACACATACATGCACATAAATAAAAGTAAGCAAAAAAAAAAAGAGGTATATTTGAAAAAGAGAGACAATGATTTGCTCACAGTTTGGGAGATCCAAGAGCATGGTGCTGACATATTCCAGCCTAGATGAGGCTGTAAACACAACATGGCAGACAGGTGGGGTTCACGAGGAGAGACCACATGGAATAGCAGATTTCAAGTTTACTCTCTCTTTTTGTTGTTGTTGAATTTTTTTTTAAAGACAGTCTCACTCTATTCTAGGCTGACCTGGAAATTGCTCTGTAGCCCAGGCTGGCCTTGACCTCAGAGTACTCCTGACCTCTGCCTCCTAAGTGCTGGGATTCAGGTAGGAGCCACTGTGCCTGGCATTCCCGCTCTTTAAAAATGCTTTTTAGTAGTATACATTAATTACACATAATAGCGGGTTTCATTATAACTTGTCATAGATGTACACAGTTTATTTCGATCATATTTACCCCCTTATCCTCTCTTCCCCCATCACTATTGCTAATCATTTTCCTCTTTCCAACTAGCCCTCTTCTACTGTCATGGGGTGTGTGTGTGTGTGTGTGTGTGTGTGTGTGTGTGTGTGTGTGTGCGTGCATCTGACAGAGAGCTTATGCAAGCCCAATAAACTAATGAATTTCATTAGGGTCGCTAACAGGAGCATGAGAACCTTAACCAGTGGCCACACCATCAATCATTAACTGCATAAACCCCCCAGAGAGGGGTGGGGTCCAGCTCACTCTGTAAACCAGTCTTTCAGGAACTAACCCTCTCTGAGGGTATCCCCAGTGACCTCATTGCTCTAGGCCTCTCCTTTTAACGGTTCCAGTAGGGAGTGGAGGTGTAGCTCAGTGGAAAAGTAACACACATATCATGCAGGAGGCCCTGGGCTCTATCTCCTGGCCCAAAACCATTCCATTGCCACACTCAGGACTAAGCTTGCAACACACCAATTCCTGGAGGACAATCCACATCTACACCACAGTAATCCCCAGAACAATTTCAGACTCCTTATGGTAACCTCCCATTGCTAAGAATGGTGGGTTAAACTGACTGTCTGCCATGAGCCTATAGGCCAGAGGATTTAGAACTAGGAGACTGAGCCAACCTAGGCTAACAAAGTGAGACCAGGTCTCAAAAAACCCAAGTAAACGCCAGGCAGTGGTGGCGCATTCCTTTAATCCCAGCACTGGGAGGCAGAGGCAGGTGGATCTCTGTGAATTTGAGGCTAGCCTGGGCTACAGAGTGAGTTCCAGGAAAGGCTCCAAAGCTACACAGAGAAACTCTATCTCAAAACAAAACAAAATGAAACAAAACAAAACAAGCCCCCAAGTGAGGGGCTGGGGACAAGGCTCAGTGAGTAAAGTGTCTGCCGCACAAGCATGGGAACCTGAGTACAGAACACCAGGACTCAGGTAATAAAGTGGGTGTGGCGGCCTGCTTCTATAACCCCTGTGCTGGGTGGAATTGGGGTACAGAGACAAGAGGACATTGGACATTGACACCCATGCACCCCTACACGCAATCTGCAAGGCACAGCAGCATCCATCTGGAACCTGGGGAAGGGAGTGAAGTAACAGGCAGGATCCCTCTGCCATACCTTCACTAACAACACACAAGTCTCACAGTGGGGCAGAGGCTGGGTGGTACCCTACTCCCACGTAGTTCACAGACATCATCTCTGGGAGCCCCCACATACTCACCCTCCGTGTTATTACAACTCCCAGAAGACACTTCCCTGGCAGAAGTGGAGATAGAGACGGGAACAATCCCAGAGCTTATGGGTCAGCTAGCCTGGCTGGTTCTGTGAGCTCCAAGTTCAGTGAGATGCTCTGCCTCAAAAAATAAGGTGGAAGACTAGGCAAAGGCATGTTGCTGCCTTCTGATCCCAGCGCTCTGAGGCAGAAGCAAGTGGATCTCTGTGAGTTTGAGATTTTTGTTGTGGTTTTTCAAGACAGGGTTTCTCTGTGTAGCCCTGGCTGTCCTTGAACTTATTCTGTAGACCAGGCTGGCCCAGAACTCAGAGATCCTCCTGCTTCTGCCTCCAGAGTGCTAGGATTAAAGGCGTGTGCCACCACCACCCCTCAGAGGATTCCTACTAGCCTGGGCTACAAAGCATGACCATGTAGCTTGAGCTACAGAATAAGATTGTGTCTCAAAAGGTCCCAAATCAAAACAACAAAGGCCTGAACAAAACAAGGAGTGCTATTTAATGATAAAAACACCTTCACTTCCCCAGAACAGCCTGGAGCATAGTGAATGCTCACTGACTTCACTTAACTGAACACACTGTCTCCCTGCTTTACTGTCAGAACCTCTTCTACCCTAGGAGGCCTGGCCAGGAGGCATTGTGAGTCATAGCTGGCAGACAAGTGGGGTGAAGTGATCCAGAAATGGGGCCAGGCCTGGGACCGCAGCTTGGGCACCTCCACCACACCTTCCAGGTGAGGAACAACTCACAAGGAATGTCAGGGAACAGTCTTCCGGGGAGTTGTGACCTCAAGGATAGATGTGCAGGGCCTTCCAGGGGTGGTCTCCATGAACTAGACATGGGTGGGGGAATCAGTGAGCCTGCCTCTGCCCAAATGTGTGTTGATTTAATGCAGGTGTGGCAGAGGGAACCCTGCCTGTATTTCTCTTTACTCCCACCACCGGCAGGAAAGGTCTTTAAAACAACACACCGTACAATCAGTACTTTGTAGGTGTTGGGAAAAGAGATAAGAAGCAGGTAGAATGGAACTCTGGGCTTTAGAATCCTTGAGGTAGTAGTCTGCTAGGAACAAAACTCAGCTCTACTGTTCAGAATCCTAGTCTCCTTAAAGCTAGGCATAGGTCTAGGTCAAGACATGTGTCCCAGGATATCACTGACCACACTGGACTTTAATACTTGTCTTTCCAGTTGGACCAGGAACATCTTGAAGGTAGACAATGGCTGTGCTGATGGTACCCTCTGTGCAGACCAGGCCTGGCAAGGAGCAGGTGCCGGTGTAAGAATATCACATAACCCAAAGATGGGCCTATGCCAGACACTCTGTGGAATCCATACTAAATCTGGCTCTGCAACCTTCAGCAGCCTCCCTTAAGGAGTGATGCCTCAACTGTCCACCTTGCCTGTACTGCACGTCAGGATGCCCTGGCTCACCTTTCTAACCTACTTTCCTGCTTGCTGTTCTCAGAACCAACCTTATGCCCAGGCTCTTCCACACATCTGGAACATGACAGCCTAGCCTCACTGTCACCCTGCCTCACAGCTCTCCATTACATTCCCACTCCACTTAGCAAAGGCTGTCCTACTGATCCCCACCTGTGGTCCCTTACAGCTGCATCTCCGAGAACGAGTTCCCAGGCCTTTCTCTACATTATCCCTTGCACACCCACAAATGAAGGGTCCTGGGGGAGTTGTTTTGGTAAACGCCGGTATGAATATGCAGGAATGGGCTCCCCTAGTGGCCTGGAACTGTAGAGCCCTGGTGGTGGGGACAGCCTGTCCTGAGCCGGCCGCTCACCGGCCATTTGCTTCTCAGCAGCGCCACTGGCTCGCCTCCATCAATTCCAGGACAGCAGGGCTCCAGACACCCACGCGCTCCGCGTGGCCCACCCACACTTCGCCCTGGAGGCCTTCGAGTCCCTGGTCGCCAGCCACGCGAGCCACCTGTGGGAGGAGCTGCGGCAGTTCTGGGCCGACCACTTCTCGCGCCGCTTCTCGCCGCGGAGGCCGCCGCTGCGCCACTTCTCATCCACGTCCACCTTCTACCTGCTGGACCACCGCACGCGCCAGGCCGAGCTGGGGCTGAACTACGGCGCGCCGCGCACCCGACTGGGCAACGAGGCATTCGTGTTCCGCGGCGGCCGCTGGACCGCGGAGGGGGAGTGTCACGCCCGCCCGCGGTCGCCGCCGCCCTCGTCCACCGGCCCGGCCTGGGAGCCGCAGGTGCAGCCGATCAAGAGCCAGGTGCTGCTGGAGGAGAACAACTACCTGAAGCTGCAGCAAGAACTGCTCATGGACATGCTGACCGAGACCACCGCGCGCCTGCACCTGCTGGAGAAGAAGGGGGACACGGATGTAGATCCCGAGGCCGCGGCGCGCGCCTGGCAGAGGAAGATGCGCAAGCACGGGGGCGCGGGCGTGCTTATGATCCCGGCGCGCGCTCTGGAGTCGCGGTGACGCAATAAAGCCATGCAGAAAGCCGAGCTGCGCGTGCGCGTCTCACCTCGTCCAGCCCGTGGCTAGGGTGGCCGGTTGCCCGCGTGCAGGCCCGGTGCTCCATGGTGGCACTGTGTGCGGTCCAGATATCCGGGTGCAGGAGACAGAGAGCGAGTGGCGCTCGGGCTGGGGAGAGGTGGGCAGACTGGGGCGTTGCGCTTCACTTTTTCTTGATCCAGGGCCTTAAAGGAGTTTCTTGAAACCTTGGGTCCTGCTTTCCCGCACTTGCCAGAGTGGTTCACTTTGCTGTTTTCCATTCATGTCTCCGATAGGGTCTGATTTTCTCCTTCGTGGAATAAAGGTATCTATTTGACTGAGCATTTTTAAAAATACATTGGGAGCGGGGCAGTGATGGCAAGCCCCTGTAATCCCAGCACTCAGGAGGCAGAGGCAGGTTGATCAGAGTTCCAGGTGAGTCTGGTCTACAGAGCTAGTTCTAGGACAGCCAGGGATACAAAGTAAAACCCTGTCTTGAAAAACAAAAACGAACCAAACAACAACAACAAAATGCACTGGGGCCCCACAAACTCATACATAAATAAGCTGTGTGTGACATATATATGTGTACAGCACATATATGGCATATGTGTGTATGGTGCATAGATACATGGCAGGAAAGGGCTTGACACACAGCTCAGTGTTAGAACACTTGTCTAATATGCAAGGCCGTGTGTTCAAACTCCATTACTTCAATAATTCATTTTTGAGTTAAGGATTTCACTATGCATGCTGGGGTTAAGGAGGTGTGCCACCACACCCAGCAGCAAACAACTACTTAAACATGTTTCTAATACACGGGAGGTTGTGGAAAAGCTGATAAGACACATATGAGAGGCCGAGTCACAGCAAGGGGGAAATGGATTTGACTCTTTGGGGGGGGGGGAGGCTCTTCTCTAGAGACCAAATGCACATCCCTTGTCGAAAATCCCATAATGGGTGGTGAGCTCAGAAAGCAGAGGTCATAAGACCAGAGCTTCTACCTACAGACAAGCACTCCTGAAGGAGACCCACACACACACCCTGCACATCGGGGCTTCCTCTGAAACCGCAGATTAGACACAAACCACACTCAAACACCTGTTTTCACAGAGAGATTATTAAGCTAGGAAGAAAAGTTAGAGTGGCTGCTTTCTGACTCAGGCAGAAAAACAGCAGCAAATGACCTTGCACGTGTAATTTTTAAGAGGAGAAGAAGGGGAGGTCTGTGTTAGAATGGGCTGGGATGTGGGGTAAAGGAGATAGAGAACAAGGGAGAAGGGGACAAGGGAAAGGGGGCAGGGGTATTTGTCCCAGAGGGACAAAGGACTGCCTTCTGGATAGAGGAGACAGAAGTTGCACATAGGGAATGGGGTTTATAAAGGTAAAAGGGGAACTGGGTAGTGGTGGCACACACTTTTAATCCCAGCACTTGGGAGGCAGAGGCAGGCGGATCTCTGTGAGTTTGAGGCCAGCCTGGTCTACAGAGCCAGATCCAAGACAGGCAGGGCTGTTTCACAGAGAAACTCTGTCTCAAAAAGCAAAAACAAAACAAAAGGTAAAAGGGAAAACCCCATGTTAGGATGAAGTATTTAATTTTGATTGGGCATGTTAATTAGGGTGACCACAGGGGACTTTTGATGGCTGGACTTCAGTACTTTGATAGCTGGACCTTGGTAGTCAGCCTCAGGAGGAGGAAGTGGCCAAATAAGAGAATAGACCTTGGGGGCTAACTTCAGGAATGCAATCTAAGGGGTTTTAGTAAGGCAGAGGGAACTGGGGAGAAGAGCAAGGCCTGCCAGAGCCACATGAGTGGGCTAGAGTCCCTTCACTACCTACCAGCTCAGGTAGCATATGGCAGCTGAAATTTGAGCAAGGGCCAGGAAAAATGGTCAATGGTAAAGACTGATACAGAATGGAGTACAGCATAAAACCAACCAAGTGTTCCTGGTTTGCACCTGTGATCCCAGCTAGCACTTGGGAGTCTGAGGCAGGAGGATTGTTTCAAGTTCAAGACCAGACAGGGCTACATAGTTGCAGGCCAGCCTGGGCTACAGAATACGCCCTTGTCTCAAATACACATACATACATAGGAACCCCAAACCAACCAAGCAAAAAGGAAACAGAATGGATAGAGGACCCCTTATCTAAAAATACCTGGGATCAGAAGTATATCAGATTTTATTATTTTGTATTTTATGAATTTTTTGTTTTTTGTTTTGCCTACATATGTGTATGTGCACCATATAACTGTCTTATGCTTTCTGAGGTCAGAAGAGGGCATCAGACCTCCTGGAACTAGAGTTAGGTGCTATGGGCCGCAGGAATATTATAAAAACTCAGCTGGTTATGGCAAAGCCACTACCTAAAGGGATCAAGGAATTCCTTCAGAGGAAGTCAAATTACGAGTAGTATTTGGTGATATTTGTCTTGTTATATATCATATCAGCTGTCTTGTTATTAAAATCATGTGTGCCTTCATAGTTTTCCCAATTGATTTTTCCCTAAGAATTGCTAACAGTGTGGACTGATCACTCTCTGGACACACACATTCAAGGTATTTGGAGAACAGCCTCAGGAAAGGCCTCCTTCCCCCCAGTCTACCCGTTTCTCCCCTTTCAGCACTGGAATCAGATCTCTCCCTTAGCCACGTTCAAGGACTAACAGAAATAACAGACCAGACCAGCACATGCTAGTCTCCTGATTTAAGGTAAATTCCACAAGGAGACACCACCTAGGTCAGGTGGGCCTTAGGTAATAGCTTTACTTCTTACCTAACCACTTCTCAGAATATAGACTGAACACATAGATCCCCTTTTTGATATACTAACTGGTCATTAGCACTCAGTTGACCTTCTCTCTTACCACTCCCATTTTGGGTTATAAAAGAAGGCCTGACAGTTGCTGCCTGAGGAAAATTCTTTTTAATATTTTTATTTTATAATTAATTTACATATCAGCCACAGATTCTCCTGTCTTCCCTCCTCCCACCTCCACCTTTACGACCCCGTAAAATTCAAGCCTGGTAACCTTGCTCAACCAGGGGATTGCTATTGCTTGGGTTTATAAGTGGATTCCTGGGAGACTTAAGAGAGAAGTAGAGGACTGAGAGGGGGAGAACAGAGAGGGATAAGGAGGATTTTGACCAGAGAGAACGTGTGGACGAGATGGAAGATGAGGAAGAGCCAGATGGGAAAGTATTAGCTGGGTAAGAGTGAGATGAAAAGGACCTAGATGAGGCAGAATTAAGACGAAAGAATTAAGATAAAACTTAGAGGGAGCAGTAGATAAATATAGAGAGAAATCAGGCAAGAAAGGAGCTAGGCACCAGAACAGAACTGAAGCTGTGTAAACAGGAAGTTATCCCAGAGGAATTAAAGCAAGTGGACTAAAGAGCTCGGTGTGGATCCCCTAAGACTAAAGTTACATGGGTTGTGAGCCTCCTTATGGATTCTGAGCCATTGAGCCATTGCTTCAGCTCCTAAAACAGGGTCTCACTCAGCAGTCCAGTCATTCTTTGTTAGAATCACAGCAATCTCCTGCCTCAGTCTCCCAAGTGCTGAGGTTACAGGTGTGCACCACCACAACCCGACTTATGCAGCCTTGGGATCAGACTCGGGGCTTCATGCATGTCGGCTGGTACTCCACCAACAACTGAGCCACTTCTCCAGCCCCAAGATAATAGGTCAACAAGGGAAAGGTTTGTCCATTCGGGACTTCAGAGGTTTCAGCCATAGTCTCTGGGCCCTTTGGCTGCACAGTGAAGCATGGTGAGAGCACACGGAGGAGCAGCTCTGTTCAGAGGCAGGAAAGCAGAGAGGATGGGTCCAACATCCCTTCAGGGACACGGCTAGTGACCAGCTTCCTTCTTCTAGGCCCCACTTCCTAAAAACTCTACCATCCCCGACAGTGTTGCAGGCTTACAGTCTTTGGAGACGGTGTTTAACAGTGTCTTCTGAGATCGAAACACTCCATCTTGCAAGGCAGCTCCTTAAATGGAAGGTAAACAACTCAAAATAGCTTCAGTAAGTACCTGAAACTGACCAGATTCACTAGCCCCTCCTCGCCATAAACAATAAAAGTTGAGAGCCCCTCTCAGATGAACAAAAGCTAAGTAACACCAGAGACTCTCGGAGAGCTAAGCTGAGAAGACTCTGAAACCAGACCAAGCTGCCTGGAAGAAGCAGAAACCAGCCGAGCTGCCTGATAGAGGTTTAGACCATCTGAGGGACCAGGAAAGGCCACTCTGCAACCTGTTGAGCTGCCTGCAGGCTGTGCAGTGGGCTCCAGGTTCCCAGTTTTGAGCTGTCACTCATGCTGGGGTGGGCTTTGGAATGTCTTTGAGTCATTTCTGCTCCTGGAAGTAACCCCTCACCTATATTCCTGTAAGTGACTATGATAAAACCCATTGGTTCTACCAAATTGAACTTTGGTGATATCTACACTTTGGTGTGTCATGGGTTCCCTAACTGGGATGAGTAGATATGTGTGTTGCATTTCCCCAGGAAGAGTTTTGTTACACAACAGGCATGTTGGCCTTTGAGGGACATTTCAGATCGAAACCATGACAGTACAGAATTTTGTACTGGTGAAATCATGTTGTCACTCAAAACATGTCAGATTTTGGAGTGTTTTGGATTTCAGATTTTTTTCAGGTTAGACTGTGTTAGCAAAACACAAGAAACAGGAGCAAAACTGATTTTAAAAATTTGTTTGCTTGGAAGTGGTGAACCATGCCCTTAATCCTAACACTTGGGAGGCAGAGGTAGGCAGATCTTTGAGTTTGAGGCCAGCCTGCCCTACAGAGTGAGTTCTAGGACAGCCAGAGCTACAAAGAGAAACCCTGTCTCAAAAAAAAAAAAAAAAAACAACTCAATCAACAAATATAATAAAAGTAAAATTAGTTAAGGGGTTGGAGAGATGGCTCAGCAGTTAAGAGCCTTGCTGCTCTTGCAGAGGCCTGGGTTCAATTCTCAGCATCCATATGATGCCGGGCAACAGTAACTCCGGTTCCAGAGGATCTGA